CCCAAAATGTTGAGGCACTTCGATGCAACATAAATGCACTGCTGATAATAATTTTGTTAATGAATCAAGGAACCACTCCCCCCCCCCCACTACTTCGGAAACCCTCCCCCCTTGAAACTTATTTCAAAGTTGGTTTAGTGTTCGTTAAAGTTTTGGGCGTGGCCCTCTTTAATGAGGGGAGGGGGGGGGCTGAAATGGGGGAAGAATCAAATCCACAGGATTATCGAGACGTAATTCAGCCCCAAGACAAGTATTCTAATTGAGTATTCTGAGGAAATGAAGATGACGGTTCATATATGAAGTTAAAATCAATAAATCTGGAGCGTGAGAGAAGGACAGTCGCCGGTAAATTACGAAAAGCTGTAAATTCTCGGAACATTTCTGTTTGAAGTGATTGTCCAAGGTTTTTACAGTGTAACGGCTCGAAGAACTGTGAATAACCTTCGTTTTTCCGTTTTATTCCCAAAGCACCTCTTACCTCGGAGGTTTTAGTACCGTACTACAAATTTGCACGCTTGCAGGATGAATTAGACCAGTGGAATTTATAGCTGCCCGCTGCCTTCTCAGTCATCACAGTAGCAAATGTATTGATCTCACTTTATCTTAAATCACTTAATAAGTAATGATTGTAATTTTGCCGTGGTGCATGAAAGAACTGAGTCGTAGATACGAGAGAAGTTACAGAACTACTATGTGTCATTTGCAGCCCGTTTTAAAAAGGGTCAGCACTTTCTGAGTTAAGGTCACGTCTTGTTTCTTGCTAATACCTTCATGTGGAGAATTGATTAATCGCTCCTCTGAGAATTAGATTTTTTTGTTTTGTCATATTTATTAATCGCTGTAAATTACGCTTTTCAGTCAGGATACCCTTAAATCCCAATTTGATTAATCGATAATACTGTAAAATTAGAATCATATGCTAATTTAATTTATCAGTGTTGGGCTAATAAAACGTTTTAGTATATACCACATAGGCGAATAGTGGTTTTTTCGCACGCTGATCGACTGGTTCGGAAGTGATTAGCAAGTACTATTCACCTCCGAGCAGCCAAAGAGACATATCGCGCGCCAACAATTTAATTTCCGACTATCTTTTGGTATATCAACTGATATAAACTAATTTTTTTGGTTTCTGTGTGGTATATAAGTAAGTGTCGGTGACATTTATCAAGCTGCGAAGCGGTTTGGTAATTATCCACCAAATCTCCATTATTATTTACTTCCATTTCGGTGAATATTGTTAAATGTTATATTAGGGCTACACGTTCCCTTCTTTTTCCACCTGCTAAGTTTTAGAAATTTTTGCGGCCGGCTTTAGTGCATATGTTTTATTTTCCAACACAGATGACATCTGTACGGATCGCTACGATAAAAAGTGCCTTGGCTAGCCATGCCTTAGATTACTTGCGTATTTGTTGAGAGGTGGACGCAAAGTTATGAATTGCTATTCTTTCCTGTTTCAAGTTACCGTCCAGACCTCTGATGATTTGTGATTCATATCCCTTAGGGATCTTTCAAAAGTCTCCAGGTGAAGATGCCTATGATAACCTGTTGGGCAATATCCAGAACACTCAAATCAGTTTTGTAACATCAGTTTTTTAACGCTTTCCTGGAACAAAATAGCTTACAAAGGCGTCCTAAATCAAGGTAATTAAGTATTATCAACTGTGTTGATAAGGTAGATTGGCCATCGTTAATAGTTCAAAAGCTGATGTTTTGAGTGCTAGCCCTTCGTCAGAGCAATCGCTCTGTTACACTCTCCCACCGACGCAGCACCACAGTTTCTTTAGAAACTTACCCCCTTCATTCATGCACCCTAAATCATATCGGTGGTAACTTCGTGGTAGAAACAACCTGACAGCTTAAAAGTATTCCTTGTCGCAAACTGTGTATTTTCTGCGCTGACCTCTAAGGTTGCGCATTTAGACTTTTGAATGAGTGGAATTTGAGGATATACATGCATTATTTACCGCAGCACGACTAAAATGCTTTCAATCAGTCGAGATGCTGACGCAAGCAAGAGATCATGAACTGCGCAAGCAAGAGATAATGATATGCGATTTACAATCTCTTGGCGCAAGCTACAAAAGCTTCCCACTATCGGCTTCATTCAACTTCTGACCGCTTGCGTTATGGACCAATCAGGCACACGAGCAAAATTTTGCTAAAACTATTTCACCCGAGATACATCCATGAGGTATCCAGGAATTCGCTTGGTCAACTGTACGCGGGTTCGTTGTTCTTTCAAACGTGTAGTTTGATCTTCAAGGCGAGGAAAGCCCTGAAAATGACTGAGAGAGCCGCCTTTCACCGTACGGTCCGCTAAATTCAAAAGTTTATTCGAATTGAAATCTTTCCTTCCTATTTGAACCAAGAGATAAATACCTTTGCACTTCCCTCGTTTCCTCAGTCCTTACCGTAAGTTACAGACTGATTTATGACCTGGGTTGTGTGAAATACTGTTGGTAGTATACTGGCATAAATTACCGGGCCACATATATTAGAAGCGAACCTATGCACGTGGCCATCAACTAATCCTAATGAGCGCGCTACTAATGACCTAACTGAATAATATGCCCATCGAGGGTTGTCAATTATTTTCGTGGCTTTCGAACATGTAACTACTCGGTTTATGTTATATCCTTACTAAGAACAGTTTGCCTCCCTGAGTACTGATAAAACTGTATCCCACCCCAAATACCAATGGCCTACGTCCTCCCCATTAAAATGGTCCAAAAAATGAGCCAAAAAAATTGGTCCGAAAAAAAAGGGTTGAAAAAATGGTCCAAAAAGTAGTCCAATAGTCCAAGGGTCCAACGGTCTATTTTTCCTCACTGGTCTTAGTGCACAACGAACATGCGCTGTAAATCTGCAACAGTCTCGTGACCTTGTCGGAGTAAAAGAATTCGTTAAAAGCAGCGTGCTTCACACCATGTTATGGTTTAAACCTGTTTTAATGTGCAAAGTCACGGAAGACATTTCGTGGTTTACATGGGAATGAAGGTATGTCTATGCACTTTACACGCCAAGGTGAGAATCAACTATCTGTGGCTAAATAGATCAATCGAGATCAATATGTCGACGTCTGAAAACAAATTATATAAATGTTTTTAACGGCCGCATTGAAATGGGTTATGAAATGAGAATACTTGTAATTGACATTACGGGGGAAACCAAGGAAATGCAGACTTCGCGCAAGGACCACGCTTTTATTTTCACGCTTCTGCTCTTTCTTTTTTTTCGTTTCCTTTCTCTACACTCACGGATAAGGCAATCACTCTTCCTTCCGATGCGTACTAAGTAAACCTCCAAGGCAGTTCTCTCGAACATGGTGTTGACTTTGCGTAGATGTCAGAGCGTTCTCCTTCGCGATCGTTGGGACTATTCGAGATATCAGCGATACGATGGCTTGAGGAAATCACGAATCCAGCCAGGAGAGGGTTTTGTAGAGAGCACTTTGAAATTAACATCGATTCCTTCCAAGCATTTTAGCCGTATTCTTTCACTAGATATGACTCTCGCATCCGAGTGCGGCCGCGGCCATTGTTCATATATTTTTGCTTTCTTGTGTTAAATTTTAGATGTACGCATCGGTTTTCCTCTCGTCACTTGCAAGTATAGTGAACAAAAGGAGGCCAGCTTTATCATGGTAGACGAGTCAGAGAAAAACTGTCGTGAATTTCATCATACTATATTGTGCTGTATGATGATACTGAAGTTTCACAGCTTTGCGCTGTTTTATACCTGTTAATGTTTAGTTTCTTGTCCGAAGTTGAATGTTAAATATACATCGTGCGCAGATTCGCATAGGTTCATATGCCAGTACTTACGGGTTTATGCTAACTAAAGTGGTTGTGTGTTTTCTGGAGCACATAAATGCATATATATTTCTTTTGGTTGAAATTGTCTTCTTTTCCAAATTTGATCCCGGAGCGAGGGTGGACGAAGCATATTTTAGATATTTTCTTGGAAAATTGTTACAAAATTGTAAGGTAAGATTTCAGCTCAGCCTCATGCGTTGTTATTCATATATATCCTGGGTAAAGAAAACACGGAAATAAGGGATTGTCTTTGACACAACAGCTTTGTACCACAAAGCTTCTATGCATGTTTAAGTGTTTTGGTAAGTTGAATCTTCAACAGTATACAAAAAAATTTGGGTGAAAACATGGAATGTTACATAATGGTTAAGGAGGTGTCTATCTCTGCTTGATTTGGGTAATTTAAAAGAGAAGTACCGTATTTGCCGTGTATAAGTCGCGAACTACAAGTCAACCCCCCATTTTCAAGGTTAAATATCGGATGTTTCATCAATTCTAGTTAAAATAAAATTCAGACCGATAGAAATTTCCCAAAAAGTTAATCTCCTATATCTAAAAGCGTATTGAAAACACGGTGAATTTAAAAAAACTGCAGAGCAAAACGTAACCATGTGCAATGAAGTTTAAACAAGTACTTGTTTATATTACCACGATTTAACATACACGAGCGCTTCGATTTACAAGAGAAATATTTAACCATATTTCGTAAATCGCATTGAAAATGAAATCTTCTTGCATGTAACTAACTTTTATCTCAATGTTGAATTTGAAAGGAGATTTAGTAAGCCGAAGGACAACGAAGAGCTTCGAAGGATCGCGCGTTAGAAAGGAGAACGCGCGAGACATCAACATTTGCCAGGTCACTAAGCTACTGGAATCGTTCGATAACGAGAGTTCGGCACCGTAAACAGCTGCGAATCTGTAATGAAAAGTGTCTGCTCTACAGATCACAAGACAAAATAGAGATTAGCTCCAGTAGCATTGTGGTGAAGCCACTCAAAATTTGTTATTTCAAACTTTTTTGTTAACGAAGAATGCGCTGAAAACTACAGGAACTAAACACAATTAGAACTGGTTCAGGCAATATTGTTATGCTAAATTTCTTGGATTGCTTGGGTCAGATCTTTTGCGTATGACTCGTGTATAAGTCGAGGGTGAATTTTTAGGTTGATTTTTTGGTCATAAAAGGTCGACTTATACACGAGTAAATACGTTATCGTGTAGCTCTAATTCAATATTTCCCTGACAAGCAAAATAAAGTCTGCTTCAGAGTGAATAGTTTGGAGGGTATTTCAAATTGTTATGAAGTTTTTCCTACATGGGAATTCAGTTTATCTATAATGTACTTATAGATCAAATCAGAAATTAAAACGGATAAGTTTCTAAAAAACTGTCTCTCAATGGCAAAGAGCTAGCGCTTGAAATATTAACCCTATCAACTCAGGTGATTAATTAAACCAAATTGTCTTGTAATTCAAAAAGTGGTCTGCTGAAGCTTAATTTTTCTTACTTATCAATTAAACTCTTTTTCTCAAGGTTGAACAGTGCCATGATAATGATTGACTGCAAATACATATATGGCAGCACATGAACATGAGAAAAAGCCTAAATGTTGCTTCAAAGGGCGTCTGGATTTGGTGGACAACTCTTCAAGCTTGACAAAAATACATCTGATCTGCTCTAAAGAAACACCACAGCTCTTTCCACGTAGAAGCATTTGAAGGTGAGAGAGATAATATGGTTCTTTCTTACTTGTGGCTCATATTTTTTTGTTAATCTCCTTCCATTTTTGGTCTGTCTCAATACATGCAAATAATGTTGTAGTACAAATATTTTAGACTAGTTTGCATTGTGTTTCATGCTTTTTTCCAGATAACAGTATTAATAGTGATTCTGAAACAAACAATGATGCAGATATACCTACCTAAAGGAAGCTAAACTCTTTTCAATTTGAATCCCATTTATTGGCTACAAAACATGCAATGCAAATTGAGTTACAAAGGTATGGAAGTAGTCACAAGGGCAACTGTTAGAAAAAAAATTAGATTAAGTCTGTGGATGCATTTTTCAGTGGTGTGAATTTTGTTCTTTTGATGACAAATGATAATTTAAGAGTTAAACCTCTGGGTGGGCTGGGTTGTTCAAAGCTGGTTTAAAGTAACCCAGGATAATTGACCTTTTTTACAGTTCTCAGCACCATATTGATCATGTAACCGCGCACACGAGAGAGCGAGGCTAAGGTTGACTCGTGTTAAATCTCTGTGAGCACTTTTGGTGAAATTCGTACATAGGCAGTAAAACTGTTCGATTTTTAAGGAAACTGGATGGTCCTAGCTGAAATCTTGATAAAGCTAATTTTTCTACGAAATAGAAATGAACGCAGTGTGCTGCTTTTGGTTGTTCAAATATATTTTATAGCCCCAATGGTTTGCCTATGAGCTTTCACTTCTTCAAGTTTATGCACGGAGGCATGTATTTTTGCTAAGTATTTATCGTTCTATACTTATCTTATTCTCTGTGAATATTATGAACGAGGGTAACTATTGCTGCAAAATTAGTACAAATTTTCTGTTAGGTACCCAAATTGTTTTGAGTTCAATAGAGTGTTTTTTATTCCGGCAGTAAGTCAATAAGTTCAGTACTGCTCACCTGTTTACTACATGGCTTGCCTAAAACACTCCTAGCAGAGAGAATTTTGGAAAGTAATTGCTTTTAATAAAATAACCAAGACACTGTATCTTCAGAGTTTTCACTTATTATGGCAGACCAAGAAAACTGACACAAATTTGGTAGCAATTGTTACAAAAGAAGTTTTCAGTAGTTGCTTTTTTTGTTTTTTATGATAGCATAGTAATCCATTATGGATGCCACATGAAACTCTCAAAAAGTATTTTGTGTGCTTTCTGTATCAATCAATTCGATGCTTCAAATTTGAAAAAAGAAAAGTGAGTTTCACCAACTAAAAGAGTTCTCAACACAAAGATGAACTTAATGACACTAAATTTTATTTTTAATAAATTGTCCTCGTAATAAAAAGTGTGATAGAAATCTCACAAGAAATAATTTCTCATACAATTTGATGGTCTGAAAGATTCTCTTTCAAACAAATCTTATGGTAACTGTAACAGTATAAAATAAATATCTTGATTTGGATATATTTCTCAATCTTGTAAGTATCTTCTTTACATCTAAAATTATATCATCATAACATTGGTTAACACAATGCAGTAAGAACTAGTATAGCAAACCTTTGTTTCAGAAGGTCTCTTAGCACTAAGAATGGGAATATCAATTCACTGATTGTTTATCACTGACAGAAACTTAAATGTGTATAAAGGACTGGCATTGTTGAGATCAGTAGCTGAGAGGAAGCATTTCTGTTCTTTCCCTTTAACCCTTAAATACCCAAGATCTGATTGTTAATTTTCCCTTGTAGCTGCTACACATTTACTTGTAAATAAGTTATGAGCATTTGATGTAAGATCAAGGTAATTTCTGCCTGATAAGTTTCAGTATTATCATTATCTGTTTGCTGGATACTGTTTGGATATTATAGGGAGAAGTTACATGAATCAGTCACTTTTGGGAGGTTTTAAATTGTCTAATATTTTGGTCTGATTCTTTCAATGCTGTCTTTCCACTTAATAAATTACCATTAGTCGCAAACTGAAATGGTTTTCTATGTATCATGAGCATAAGTTGTCCTGGGCCAGATGGGTATCAAAATATTTTGACATCTGTTGCAGTTTCCCTCATGGGTTGATAGAAAGAAGGATTATAATCAAGGGGTTCTACAGGCCCTATTGAATAGTTTCCCATAAGATACAATGTACAAACTAAAATACATCTTGGCAAACAAAATGGGAACAACTTTAACTGAAGAATATGGTACAACAACAAGTACCACAACAACAGCAGCAGTAACAAATCTCCTCTACCTAGAGGGCTACAGCCTTTACCTCGCTTTCTAAGCCATACTGAACAGCTTTTGTGGTAATTCCTGTGGATTGATTTGTCTAATATCCGATTTAGATTTGATGTCATAGACAAGAAAGAAGGAACTTGAGGGCAAACAGTTTTGGAGGTTCTCACAGAGTTTTTTGACAGGTTTTGTCACAGGTTCTCGTGTCCGGAGCCCTAGGATCAAACTTTATTATTTTTGGCTAGGTTCTCATGTTCTTCTTACCGAATCAAATCTTTCTGATCAAGACTTTGTTGATTGGCTTCGCTGCCACTCTTTGGTTGCGGGGAACCACTCACACTGAGAGCCATGACATGCTGGTTAATGGCTTTGGGTTATTTTGGAACCTTCTTCTTATAAAATCCTTAATAGCAAACAGCACTCCTCTTATGTGGTTGCATTTTCCTTTTCCTCGAAGATCGAGGCTAGAGGGGTACATACATGCTGCACTTAACACATCACATTTCCTTCGAAGAAGAACTGAGAGGATTTCAGCTTTTCGTTATACGTTCCTCTCAACATAATGTGGCGATATTTTCATGTGGAAACAACGGGGTAATCATAAAGCTGAATGAAATTGATCTCGGGTAAATTACGGAGATCACTTGACCATCCAAAGACTGAAATCCTTACCATAGTTGCTTCGTATTTGAAGTCACTCTGGTTTTGTTCTAGGTCCTGGACATCTTTAAGAAGTTCTCAGTTTTCTCCACTACTCGATGGAGGGACGTGTCACATCAGCAAAGCATAAACTTTCGACACTAAGTCAGCTCTAATTCCACCTGTCGATTTTGAATTAGGTTTTAAAATCTCCCTGAGATCTTTTGCTTTGAGTTTCTGGATGTCATTTAATGACGAAATTTCCATGTAGTTGTCTTAAAGAACCATTTTGAAGGGAGAAATCGCATTGAAAGTGCATTAGAACATGAAATGTCAGCAGATCAGCTGTTTGAAAGAACTGCCAGGTCAACCCCAGCCTCATTATCATGTGTGCGCGGTTACAAATCCAATATGGTGCCGAGAACTGTAAAATTAGGTCTATTGTCAAATTTGATTTCATATTTGAAAACTTGAAATGGAAATTACATACATCATTCTTTAATTGTATAATTGCATTTTCAGGTAAATCTATATTGGGTTATTGTATATCAGACTTTTTTTGTACAGCAGTGCATAAACCCTTTTGCTCCCAAGATCTAAATATAAACAATTATCTGTGCCATTCATATTTGAAAGCTTGAGCAGAAAATTAAATGTATAATTTTTATGTCTAAAAAAAGGCAATTTATTGTATATGAATAATGAAACCTAGATTGAAATTTAACCTTGCATATTGATTGGCCTTTGAATGAGTGGGCCCTCAGATCTTAAAGACCATTCAATGCTAGAGAACATTTTAATGTTCATTTTGATGTTAAGGATGCAGGTGCATTTTCTCATTAATGGTCAGGAAAATTGTCTTTGTTGAGGAGAAGGAAAGAATTTTTATTTATCAATTTGTTCGGAAACCATGGTTAACAACTGCATATTGATAACCAGCCAGTGTTCTCCAGAAGTGCTGGTGGCCGGCATTTTTGCTGGCTACTCGTGTCTCGAGCACCGGCTACTTTTGTTAGACAAAACCACAGAAAACGATTCTCTCTTTTTTTTGTAAGACAATTTTGAGTGTAGCTTGAATTTGCGCTTGATTTGGAAGTGCTGGCTACTTTACAATTTTAGCTGACTACTTCAAAATCTGTGGAGATTAATGAAGAGCACATGGAATTTCAATGCACGTATGCAAAAAACTACTGACTACTAGAAACGCTGATGCTCTTTGTTGTTATTGACTTTGTTAAACTGCATTTAACAGCATTTAATGAGTTACTCATTATTTAAAGTATACATACAGAGTTACAGAGAGCTCAGCTGGCATGCAATATTTGTTTCAGGAACAATCTTTTTGATCAACTAATGGAAAAATCAAGTGGTGTAGGCTCCTTCACCAGACGTGTTGTGTTGCTGAAGGACAGTGATTGTGATAAGCACGATGGCAAAATATTCATGCCAACAACCATAGACATGGCAAAAATTAAAAAGCCACACACTGGACAGTATAACAAAGAAGTACTATTTTCTAAAAGTATGTCAGAGGAAGTGGTGAGGCAAACACTCCAGAAAGCATTTCCCTCATTCAACTTAACTGGAAGGTAATGATAAACAAGTTTTTATTATTGTATTATTTTATTTATTAATTGTTAATTCAATTGTTATTTTAGCAGGACCTACACTGATAACTGAATTTAATTACGACTGATTTTAGTAGTTGACCTGTTTAAATTGTCAGAGAAAATTCTTTGATTTGATTAATTTCTGATTATACATATAGGGCAGTAATTGATACTTTTTGAAATTAAAATTAGACAATCTCATTTGAAAGAATTTTTAGTTTTAATTTCTTCAGTATAGGGTTATTTTAATATATGTAAATACCCCTGGACCTGGTAGTACTGGATGTTTAAAAATTATTTGAGATGAAGAAATTAAATGTGGTTGAGATTAATTAATGTCTAAATTTTAGTTGAGACAACAAATTTGTTAGGTCAGTAAATCTAAAAGTTATATGTTTAAAAATTTATGAAAGTAATAATAATCTTAGTTTGTAGTAAAACATATTTATTTTACACAGTGTTGTCAGGTGTCCAGAAGGAGAATATGGATCATTGCTTTTAAATTTATATGCATTTTTTATATATATGGCTAGGTTTTATTGTGCATCCTTCAGCCAGGGAAGTACAGCTTTTATTTTTCATGGAAACCCTCGTGTCTGGGATGGAAAGATGCTTAGAAAAACAGTGAGGGGTAATTCAGTTCTCTACATTCTGTTGGAGGATGATCAGGTATGTTCATGTCACCTCACACAATGTATTATTCCTGCAGATTGTATGAAAGCCATGAATTAAACAGGCTCAAAAGGGTTTTTGTGGTGGGATAAATGATGAAAAAAAATGTATATATCTATATAATTATATATTTGCTGGTCACTGAGTTTTAGAGGGTCTTTCAGCACTGCTGTACTGTTGCCATGGCAACAGATGACAGACACACTCAATAAATTGCCCAGCAATAGTTTTATACAGATGCTAAAACATTTCCCTTATGATAAGATCGACGGTCTTGATATCTTTAATTATTAGGAACTTGCCATTAATTGTGGAAAACCATTGGAGCACTGTTAAGCTTAACTGTGAGATGTATAGCCAAACAAGATGCCTTTTTATTTTCTCATTCACTCACTGAATTTGAACCCTGATGATTACAGATAATGGTTTTTAGAACTTGTGAACTTAAATTTATTTTTTTTGTTCTTGACTGAGACTCATTTAGTTAACAATTTTGGTGTCTAAAATATTCCTTAAAATAATTCATGATTCTGTTTTTACATAACCGGCTTGTTCATTACCAATTGGCTCTTCTATTTGCAAAGCAGAGAGATTTACAAAACAGTACTTATGGTTAATACCACTTAAATACCTACATGTGCAAAGAAGAACCATTGAAAAGTGCTGTCTGTATACTTCACGCACCACTTACTCTATTAAAACTATTTACAGCACAATCAATTCACTACAAAAGTAACTAAGTAATGTTGGGAATAACGACATACAGTAGTTGCTAGCCTACTACACTCTTGCGCGTTGCTGCAAAAAATGGTAATGGTTAAATGTAAGTATGTACCCTTAACTAGTCCTGTCAGCTCGTGCGAGGTTGAGGAACCCTAGCTTTTTGAGCCTTTTAAGAAAAGTGGTGAAGCCTTGCTCAAGTTAGCAAATTTACTTTTTATTTTCCAGGCACAATTCATTTTGCATTTTGGAATCGTAACATTGTTTACTCAAAAGCTCTCTTCATTGCTTTTTACATGTAGGCTTAAATGTCCATTACTTTCCAGTTTTAAGTATTGTTCCATAAGTTTACTTTTCATTTAGATAACATGAAGGTCTATTTCAATCAGTATGGAAAGGAAAAACCAACTTGGAAATCTCAAAACTTCTGGCCAAGAAAGTGAATGGGAACTTTGCAAATGGTGTAGAAAAAAATTTCAATCTTGAGGCATTCATTTGCTGGCATCATGCATATAAGTGTGCTCATTAACATTTAATGTTGAAGCAAAATTGCTCATACAATTTCATTTGCTGTTTCATTGTACACATTATTTTCAGATATCCAGTAATTTAGTATGTGTATTAATCTATTTTGTCAGAATTCATAAGGCAAATCATTAAAGTAATTGTATTAAGATTAAAAAACAGCTTTATAAAGTTAATGTATTATTTATTTTGTTTGCATTTCAGATGCCACAAGAATCACCACATGAAATCAATGATACTACCAACAGCTCAGCACTGGGTACAAAATCTCTATTTTATCAGGAGGTGATTTTTGTATCAGAAAAACATAGTTTGCAGTTCCTATTGATCTATCAACTTGAAAAATTTCCTTTCTCTTGTCTTTTTTTATTTAGTGGCTTTGTCAAACTTGAATCAGCCAATCTTGAGTGATACAAGTGCAACAGTCATGGTTAAGAATACTTTGCAACCCCTGAATGACTATCCAATACAAGAAGGCAACATTCTTAACGGGTCATTGGCAGCCAGCACAAATTGTAATCTGATAAATCCACAAAATAAAGCTGATACAGGTAGATCAAAATCAGGTTAGATAAGACCCATTATAAACAGTAACATACATGTAATGATTAGTTAGATCAAGCAATGAAAACTAATTTTTGTAGATATGATACATTACATGTATTATATAGAGAAACATCTCAGTCTCTTTATAGATTAATTACTATAACATTGGGAAAATGGGAATTTAGCTATGGAAGTTCCACTAGTTGAGAGTTGCAGAGGCCTGCACTAGTCTATAGGTCTAGATGTAAGACTGGGTGGGGTCAATGTGTTGTGTTCTTTGGTGAGACACTTTACTTCCACAGCGCCTCTCTCTATGCACCCTTTATCCAGATAAATATTATCTTGCTGGAGACCTTTTAGCATCTCTAGTAATTTATTTCAATATGGAAACATACACCATTTACATAACATAGCTGAGAACTTGTTCAACATTGAATTACAGACTGCATTCATTAAAACTTTAGGAGGACTTTATTTCAGTTTTTTTGTTAAAGTGAAAAATCCACTTTTAATGGTAGATTCATACACCGTACATAGAAGTGGCTGTTTTTACCCTGTAACAACACCTACAACTTGTTTAAGCCCTTATTCTTTAAATGAATAATTATGATTTATTCAACTTAAGTCATACCTGTATATTACTTTTTTTTATTGTAATATTTCATTTATTTTATCTAATAAAAATTATTTATTCTTACAAAAATTATTTGAGGTAAAAAAGAACATGATAATTACAAAAGAAAACGATACACTATATCTTACAGTACAATTTATAGAAATATACTTGAGTTAAGTTAATTAATTTTTTATGTCAAGCTCAGAAAAATGTAGTATGAAAATGTCAATAAATTGTGGAAACTAATTATATCAAGGTCAGAAGCATTTTGATTCATATCAATTTTTTCATTTCTAAGACGAATTTCTATGTATAATTTTTGTTCAAATTTAAAACAAACTCGTCAATTTCACATGTTTTTAAAAGCATTTTTTGTTGTTGTAAATTGTGTTTTGCTTATAGTAAGCTGTAACTGAAAACGTCCTCATTATACTGTAACTAGAGGTGTTTTTAGTTAGTCCTCGCAACTTTTCGTATCGCGATGGAATACTTATATTACTGGTTAATTATGCCTACTAAAGAAATTTCTTTGCCTTGATTTAAATGTAGTGGCTTTTCAAAACATAAACCAACCCAACTCGAGTGATTCAAGTGCAACAATCATGGTTCAGAATAATATGCAATCCTGGGATGCCTTTCAAATGCAACAATGCAATATCCTTTCGGAGGAATCGGCGTCCAACCCAGATTTTAGCATGACAGAACCGCCAAACGCAGCCCCTGCAGGTAGATCTAAATCTTGAATTTTCCTTTTTTGTTATTGAAGATACAACATTGATTTTAGTATTTCTTGGCAATTTATCTGATTAATTGTTGGTTTGTGTTAGCCCAGTGTATGGTCTAACTCAGTATCAATTTCTCTCTAGCTCATTTATAAAGAATCGCACCTTTGAATCTGAAAGTTCTCGGTTTGCCTCCTCACGAGAGACTTAGATGCTATCTTTGTCCGATGCACATGAGAAACGTTTTTAAATATTTTCTTTGAAGAACATTGCATATATTTTTTACCTTAAGCAGATGGTGGTCTAGACGTGGACACAATGGTGGATCAATGGTTGGAAGTAAGATCTTCTCATCTCTTAACAAGTAAAAAATTAGAATGTGATCGCTTGATTGAAAAGATTACCTTGTCATTTAATTATCAATCGTTTATTACATCCATTCTAACATAGAAAAGTTCAGCCGCTTAAACACGGGATTTTGTAGTCTGTACAAATGTTTCATTGATCCAGTACTGAGCTGGTTTGAAGAAAGTTGTTTTTCATTGTCGTGGAATTTGATTGGTTACTTTAAACATTGGCCTTGAAGTCTGATTTGTTGTTTGTTTAAGAGTAGCTATCTCATAGGCTGGAAAAAAGATGCGAGCACAAAATGGTGGGATTCCTGAATAAATCATACCTTTGAGAGCCAATCAGATTGCAAAGATCACCAGTGTTTTCAAAATGGATGTAACAAATGTCTTTATTATGCCACTACTGTCATTTCACCAAATAAGGTCATGAGAAAGCGAAGAATATGCCATGCTCTTACACTGTGGAACAGCTGGGCAAACATACGGAGCCACGAAGTGGCTTCACTCAACGATCCGAACTATGTTTTTGTTTCGTTTGTTAGGGCTGACTTTTAAGGAATCGAACTTTTAAACGCGTTAGTTTTTTTGTTGGTCGCAAAGAACACTTAGATAGTTTCATTATATTCGTGTTGTTTTCATCACTCGCACACTCATTATGTGATCAATACGATGTGCAGATTAGGCCGTAGAATGTATGACGCAAACTAAAATATAAATATTAAAAAGTGAAATAATAGTTTTGTGAAAGAGGAATATTAGATCCGTAATATTTTTCTCATTGCTTGCATTTTTCCTTGCCACTTCGGAGCTTGGCACCAGCTAGTTTTCTTTCTGATTGTTGCAGATGGCAGATTTTTGGAACCCTCAAATGGCAGATGGTAATGACCCCATCGGTATGTCAATTAATTCCGTTTTAATTAAAGTTGAAAGATAAGGACATATTTGCCAGGTGCATTTCTGTGAAAGCTGCTAGAGTGAATGTGTGGTGCAGTGAGGACTTATGTCACATGTGGTGCTCTGAAAACGGAACCGTTTAGGTCGTTTTGATTAGAGAAATGTTAAATGTGTCGGTAAAAGCATTTTTAAGTGCTTTCTTACTTTTAAAGCGCTTGACACTGCCCATCTACATAGAAGATAGTTAATCGTTAACAAATGAAAATTAAAAATAAACAAAAACATAAGTATGTAAGTAAAAGAAAATTGAAAGTATAAATGATATTTCTATTGCAGGAACTTTAGAAATCAGAGATTGTCGACTCCTTAATCAAGGATCCTTGTGGAATTCCATTGAGGTAATATTTCACTCAGTGAATGAAAAAATGAATGAATTAAATTTATCAACGGAACTAATAGTGTGTGAAAAGTCTTAAGATTTGGTAGAAAGAAGACTAGGCTAGCAGACTTGTCCCATAATAAAAAAATTTATTTATTCTGGACGACTGAATCCCACAGATTAAGAACAAACTAAAGAAAAAGTAAAATTTAGAGGAAATTATGATAGGGTTTAGGCTTTAGTGCATTATGCTGGTATTTTTTAGAGTATTTTAGTGAGGCAGAAGCACTTAGCATTATTCGTACATTTCACTGGAATTTTCCCAAAAAAGAAAAAAAATTTATTTGGAGAAGATGATAACAAAAATAATAGAAAGAAATTTGAAGAGAAATCGAAATCTGAACAAATTTCAAAATCACGGAATGTTGCCGCTGTAATGCAGCTGAGTAGAGACCGGAGAGAGGTCAGCGCTTTTAGGTTTCAAGACTCAAGACTTAAAAAGGCGGCCATGTTTTTATACCATTTATTCATTTATACCTTTATTTCACATTTAAAAACTGTGTTAAAATGTGAGAAGTAGTGAAATAAAAATATCTGCATAATGAGCAATATTCGAGCATTGTAGAGACTTATTTAGGGGAGACTTTTGGGGAAAAAAGGAGCATTAAGGGGAGCATTTAAGTGGGAGAGCAAAAGCATTATGTACAAAAGCCTACTAGGGTTTTTATATAGTGATAGATGTAAAGAATCAAAAGGCGGTAGCGTTTAAATTGAAAGTGCTCTTTTATCGTCTAAGTTGAGCAAGATGGGTGTTTTAAATGCTTAACCTTACACTGTTTCTTTTGATAGATGTCTGACAGCTCAGCCGGTTATGTCAATACCACTAGCGGTATTTCTGAACTTGGTCACAATTCCTTAGGTAAGAGGCTGTGAACAATGCTTGCAGCTTTTTGTAGAAATTTACTCAAAGTATCTTCGTAAATCCTCACACATCTACATCTATAAGTATTTGTTAATAGGACTAGGAGGAGTACAATCAGGAAGTAATGGGTGAATGATTTCAAATTGGCCAAGCGTGCAGCGTGAGGTTAATTTGAAGTTATCTAAAAATTTTTTAATTCGTGACAATCAGTGATGCGCCGTAATTTTAGAGAGGGCAACAAACGAGCTGGTGGGAATTTACAGAAATTTTACGTCCACGATTCTTTTTAAAATCTCACTTATGTTATGCAGATGATCTGTCGCCAAATGAAGGCGAGCTCTTTGACTTCAGTGTCACGCCAAAAAAAGTTCCCTTACAGGTAAGGGTCTACAAAAATTATCGTAGTGAGGTATTTTTTATTGTATCAGTGCACACCGTATGTGATTGAAATGCTTAAGCCAGCTTATTCAGGTGGCTTTCTGTCATATGCATGTTAAAATGCCATTATTGTATTGGAATTTTTGTATGGAAATCAACCATGGTGAAGATATTCTACTGCGAAATCCTATAAACATAGAAATGATTAACAAATAGAGAAGCCTTGACTGTGCTCTGTTCTGTTATAAAGCACGCAGGAAGCGGCTAGAGCACGAAAGAAGTGTAGGGAGAAACACGAGACGTAGTCGAGTGTTTCTCCCTACACTTCTTTCGTGCTCTAGCCGCTTCCTGCGTGCTTTATAACAGAACAGAGCACAGTCAAGGCTTCTCTATTTGTTTTATAATAAAGAATCCTTTAAATTACCCGAGCATTACTTTCAATTTCAAAACAAACTTTATTTCCAAAGCGAACAACAATGTCGTCAGCATGCTCTATACTCTCATAAAGCACGCTACAATAAGCCAATCAGAATCCTTTTTAGAAAGGTTCAAATAATCTGATTGGCTGTACAATACTAAAGCTGTCAAAAGTGTCAAACCATCAAAGTTCAAAAACCATCAAAGTTCACATTCTACAATAGTTTGTCGAATTTAACACTTTTGCCTGAAGTTTTTGAGTCTCTAATACAGAATCTTGAAGTGAAATGTTCAGTGAACTTCAGCCGAATTATGGCTCATAAAAACACGCGAGTTTTTTCCACATGACAAGGCAGAAAACAAACTGTTCAAGGCGAGTGTTTTTTGAATGAACGACAGCCGAATTCACCGGAAGATCGAAGATCGCTCGTGATGACAGCGCCGCAAAACTCGGTTGCAGTGGCTGATGTGAATTGCCACTCAACGTATCGGAAAGGATATCATAGCAAGCTCTTATTTTTTCACTCGAAGGGCGGCCGATGTAGTTTCTGAGGCTTGCTTTACTGTGATGACCGGAGATCGCCATGATGAGTGAGCCGCGATGAACTTCAGCATGATCATATTCGCTCAGACACCGTCATGATTAGTATGAATTTTAACAATTATGCTAGTTTGGTTATATTTTTCATCATTTCTGTTTTGTTCTGTTTTGTTTTTGAACACTGAACTTTATATACTATGCGAGTGTTAGCTGTGTTTGATTTTTATTACCGTACGTAAGCTTGCAATCTAACTGAGCGTGAAAATCTTTAAAACTCGGAATGTTTATTTGTTTTTCTTTTGAGGATTTTCGTATCGGCTCACGTTTTAATAACGTAAATTACGGCGCCTGGTATGTTTACAAACCTTTGTTTGATTCTTCTGTTGCTACTTGCCGGCTCGCTTCAGTTCCGAAATTTCGCTTTCAATTATCGGAAAAAGCTAAAAAGAAGTCCCGGAAAAGGTCGAACATGGTACAATTGGCATATGTCGTGACAGCTTTAGCTCAGCTCTATGCTCTATACTCTCATAGAGCACACTCTTTCAACCAATGACAGCGCGCGTTATATCCGAACTTTATTATAAATAAAGATATAATTAGTTTAACTTACTTAATAGCTATTGAACTGTTAAGGAAATTCTGGCTGTATCTGAATGGATTAACTTGTCTAGCTGTACATGGTATGGTGATTATCCTGATCGTTTCAGTGTTCGTAATGTCACCGATTTCTGTTTTCTAGGGTGGTGAATTGTGTTGTTTTTCATCTGGTCGAGCGTTTCCAAGGAATGTGCAGTCTGGATTTGCTATCTTCGAGAATCTAGACACTGTTGAAGTAAAGAGGTGTGGCGAAGACTCCCTAGTTGGAAGGAAGATTCCACGTATGTTGATTCTCACTGCTTATACAATGAATGGTTGGAAATCGGGGGGGGGGGGGGATTTTGTTGGGTCTTTAGGTCTGATCATCCGGGGGATTAGGTAGGAGTTCTTTTCTTCATCAAACACAAAATTATCATTACCAATTTCTAAGGAAGTGTGTAGTAGTGAAAGAGGAGAATTAAATTAGATCTTTGGAGTCAAGGGGTTAAACTAACTAATTATAGATAATCATATTGTAGAGCTAGCAGATATAACAAAATTTACAGGAGTTTTTATAGATCAACAATCAACATAGAAAACACGCACAGATCTTATTTGTAAAAGACAATTGCCATTTCTACTGGGTTGCTATAATTAACTAGCTATTATTAACTTAAAAAATTCTCTCCGCTCGTTATATTATGTGGTAATTTAGCAATATATCACATAATGTAGTCTAATCTAGGCCTCAACCTGTGTCGCAAATATGTGAATAATTTATTTACTTCGAAAGTGTGTTCGATTAATTTATAAGGCTTAGTAGGGAACCCTTAGTAAACTCCTCTTTAAGAGGTTAAAAAATACCACACATTTAAAATAATTATTTGCTTTAGGTTAGCTATCACAATAATCTGTTACTATTTTGTTTTCACCAAAATTCTCAACCTGCCAATCAAATCCATTATCTCTGAACGAGAAAACGCAGAGCTGTACAACTCTTCTGCTGATCTCACCATTGCAGAAGTAATGCATAAAGAGTTTTTCCAAGAACAAAAAATAGGGAACTCTAAACCCTCTTCTATATTTGGATATACATTGTATACTCTTTTTGGCTCTACGAGAGGTATGCGTCATCCGCAATTTTGATCATGATAGTCATTGATTTTGCTTGTTCTATCCTCATAGCTTCCAAAACGCCAGGATGGGTCACAATATTTTTACAACGAGCAGATGGTACAAAGCTAGGTGAAACGAAAATTTGGTACTACGATGAAGATAAAGAGGCTCTTCAACGGATAACTGAAAACCCGAAGTTACAGCTGGATTTTTTCCGAAATTATTCTGAGATGTTGAGTAATCGTTACACTATAACAGCTAGTGGCGCTGAAGCACAAAACTCAGGAATTTGTGGTGAGTGACGCATCATTGATTGCATCTAATTTTCATGAAAACCAATTGAACTAAATCAAGGTAGAAATCCTAAATGGTTGATATTTTTTTTAAAAAAAGTCACGAATTCTACAGGGCTTGAATCTTGAATTAATCTCACAATCAATCTTACCATCAATCAGTCAATCAATCAATCAATTGTAATAATTCACACATCATATGGAAAATAAAGCCCTCCAGCCGGCTGTTATGTCGGCTGATAATTTCCGCGGCTGAGATATATTGTCCGAGTTATGAATATTTGGGTTCTGAATAGACAATAGCCTCTTTATGGAGAGAAAATATGCACAGATATTTGTCCGCGGATAAAATCTGTTCCAAGATGCATGTTCCTTTTGAGTGTTGACTGTTACGACTTAATGAACAAAAAAGAGAATTTTCTTCTATAACAACTACTTAACCCTCTCTCTTCTTGCATAAATCTGAAACAATGACTAATCGTAGTGGGCGTAAGGTTTAAAGTTTAGCTGAGGGATATTTGGTCAAGTGATGCGTTTAGACCAATCACGCGCGAGCAAAAATATTTGATGGATCATAATCATGTATGCCCTTCAATTTTTGAAAATATGAAACAATAAAGCAATCGACATCCTTCCATGCGTATGGCATTGTCATACTGAATATTTATCTTTAACAAGATTTTTATCTTTGTGAAAACAGTTTTCAAACCTTTTTTTGGTTTCGCATCGGACTTTGATATTATTAGAAGTGTTGGCACTAGTGTATGAAATTTAGCACTTAGCTGTTCTTGCCAGGCGGTTCTCTTAGATTGGGGAATTCGTTTGATGACTGTTTCTAGCTGCCCATAATTGTAAACATCCTCTTTTATTTAGGTTCCACAGAACCTGTGCAGATGTTATGCGTCTTAGTTTATGCTGCAGCAGAAATTGGTGTTCAACAATTTATAGAAATGATCTTCAACTCGTCCGCCGGAAGAGTAGTTTATAATCGTTACAAAGACAGCTCAGTTTTTCCTGAAGCTATTGCCAGAGAGTATGGGCACGAGAAGACAGCTACTTTTCTTGAGGAGATAACTGGCAGGTACTTATTTACACTTGACTTTGGAATGAAGCGAGTTAATTACGACTAAGATTGCAAAAAGATTGGGGTTATTCAGCGTGGTAATATACGGTCATATACGATGATATATACAGCGATCCGAAGGGTTGACATCAGCCGTTAGACTGTTGTAGTGAGGTTTTTGTCACTCGATTGATGTGCGTAAGAAGTGCGTTGATAAAATGATCTAACACGGTGGCTGTTTTGAGGCGGTATTTAAATTTATCAGACACATTAGTTTTTTCTTTTAGTTCTTATGAATTAAAACACGCTTTTGCTGCTTAGATTTTCTAAAGAGGCCAGTGAAGAGCAGAACTACCCCCAGACAATCGACTGGTCTGAGCTTGTGAGAGCTGCAGAGGAAGCACAAAAACAGCCTGGTGAGTGAACAACGTCAGTACTGCTGAGTTAGATTATGTTTTTGGATATGTCAGTATACAGCTTGCAAGTTGTTAAATAATGTTTATGCCAAAGTAACCGCGGACCGTTAGGATCGTAGAGGAGGGTGACGTATGAGCAGTAAGGTATAACTGATTCCTTTAAATTTTTTACTTTTTCACCAAACAGGCCTATGCACTGAAGAAGAGAGCAATCATCTTGAAAGTAATGCTGTAAAGGACACTGGTTATTTAGGAGACATCGATACCTCGTCCAACGAATCTTGCGAGAGCGGAAGCTCCGATTCTGAAGATAACATTCCTTGGGCGACTTTTAAAGGTACCCTGTGATAATGTTTTTTGTCTTAAATTGACTTTTTTTACTGAAGATTTTGTCCTTCTTTCCATTTTATTGGGAAAATTGTATCTTTATGTGTATTAAAACTCCCTCACGGAACACAAGCGTTTGATTTTCAATAGTCGTAGTCATGGCTGTAGCTAACGCAGCGCATTGTACTTTTTTTCCAAAATAGAAATGAATTACCTAGCAGGTAAGCTTGGCGAAATTGCATTGTTACATGAAGATCAGAAATTTGGAATGAAGAAGGCACCTGTGAGCCAAAGTCTGATGTATTTTTGTGAAGCTGGACATTTTAACCGAGAACAAGTAAATTCTACAGTGTCCAAGAAAGCTGTGTTACCGACCTTAGAGGGATGGCAACTCTCCCTTTTCCAAGATAGCTTCATTCGAGAGGCGTCCGGCTTGAAACACCTGAGAAGTCTCAATCGATGTGATACTTCTTTTTTCCTGGGCCCAGAAAAGGAAAGTATCCAATGTCATATATTCACGGAGTATGAAAAGTGGTGCCTCCTGTTTAAATACATGAAAGACAGCAGTTTACACAGTCGGACGTTTGCAACTGAAGGTGGACAGTTTGTAGAACAAGTTAATCAGGTAACCCAAGCTGTTATGATGGGAGCCTCCTCTGGCTGCGCTAAAGACCTTCTTCGTATACAATCAACAAGAGGTGAGGAACTGATCGTATTTATAATAATTCAGCTCAGTTAACTAAGGGGGAATCTTTTCCACTATAAAATGAAGCAAGAGATCGGCCTTCATCTCTAACTTGTGTGTTACCGATTTGCTAAATTCCTGAACTTTGGTTTTTATTATCATTATTTTTTTTTCTAGAACTCGTGACAACTTTAGATAATTCGGAGTTAGCTGTTCAATGGAATTCGGCTCAAAGGTCAACAAAAGATTCTACTTCTTCCGATTTATGGGTGTTGACTTGTCTGTGCCGTCCAGCGAGGAATGTTTTGTTTTTATATGTAAGTGTCAAACAAGTGTAAATACTCGTCATTTCATGAATTTTTTAAAGTGAAGGAAATGTCAGCTTTTTTAAAATTGTTCTTGTTTCAATTTGTTAGTCAAGAGTTTTAATTCCGCACTGGAATTTTACGTACTGCACGTATAACACTCGACTGACAACAACAACTCTTCGCTTGACTATGATGAGAACATCCGCTCAGGTGGTCGAAACATCAGTCACTGATACCAAAACAGTCCTTCTCAGGACTACCCTCAAAAGGACGATCAGACCAATCTATCAAATGTTACCCTCGGGTTCAAACCTTTTTACTTTAAAAGGCTGTCTTCCAAGGGAGAAACGAGCAGTGTGCTGACCATACACTTTCTCGTGAAAAAATTGTTCATTAGGCCCTGTAAATGTACAGTTTGCTTTAAAGTGTCTTTTCTTTTTGGTTTTGAGGTTGCAGACAACAGCAATGTTTTTCCCCAAAAAGCGTATTTCGACGATGACAGATACGAATTGTCAACCCAGTACTGGCAGTGGCAGCGATACTGCAGCAGTTTGTTTGATGTCCAAAGTAGGCTACGAGAAATGCGAAAACTATCAGGTACTTATTGCTTCGGGTTTACCTGGAGTTTTATGATTCGGTTCTTGGTGAGGTTCTGAATTGTTCTCCAGCTTTTATAACACGAATCTTACTGCGCATTTTTTGCGTAAATTATATCGTAATTTGATGATAAGTTTATTGATACGTACAATTCTTTAATTAGACTTATTGTCCTTTTATTGTTAGAGCAAATGAGACCAGAATTCGGCCCAACTCCTCTTCCTACATACGGGGCAAAGGTATGTTTATGGTTTTTGGTGAGATTAACGGTTTTGGTGGCTTTGACATGTATTATTTTACAGCAAATACCAGTGAACCGATATATCATAATATGCCTCGTCAAGAAATCCAAGCCCTTAAAAGTTTTCTCCGTGAGAAACTGAAGTGTTGGTCGCATTTGACAAGAAGCAATCTAAGCTTGGACTATCCTTCTTCAACAATGCAAATTGGCTCTTAGAATAGCTCGATTGTTACTTGAAGTTTTTTTTTCATTTATGAGGGTGTAAGAATCTCTCAGTGATGTCTTGAGATGTAAGATATAGAAATCACAATACCGCGCAGTAGGGATATGAACGATACGATTTTTCTCGGCAGATGTTGCCTCAAGTGCAGGGCAAGCACGTGTTACGCCAACTTGAATGCTGTCCTACCTGGTTGTACATCATGATGCATCAGTGTTGGGTCTATGCTCCAGTGGATAGGCCACCTTTCATCGCCATATTTGATGGCATCTCGTCGAGGTTAGTCGCTGAGGATAAGCAACCTTAAACATCGCACTTTTTAAATTGAGACTTTGTGTAGCTCAACGCAATACAGGCCATAGGCAAAAATCTCGCGTAATTCAATGACGAAGGTACCACCTTTCGCTCTTGAAGTATATAGGTACAATCGTCGCAGGAACAAACTCTCTCGCAAAATTCGAAGAACACTAATTTAAACGGTAAACAGTTACCTCGCCACCAAGCAGACTCGCCACCAGCGAACTCGCCACCAAGGAACGATCTCGCCACCAACCTACTCGCCACCAAGCGAAGTCTTCTCGCCACCAACCACCAATAAAGAGATTAGTCGAGGAGAGTAGGATGTTCGGCTGATAAGTTTGTTCGCTTGTCTGTACCCAAACTTTATAAACGTATGTTGTCGAAAGCACGTTCGAAACCGATAAGTTTGTTCGCTTGTCTGTACTCAAACTTTATAAACGTATGTTGTCGATAGCACGTTCGAAACCGATAAGTTTGTTCGCTTGTCTGTACTCAAACTTTATAAACGTATGTTGTCGATAGCACGTTCAAAACTGAAGGTGTTGTGCAACAACATTTCGTTCGTATCTCGTAGTGTAAAGGCAAACTATTTCATCCAAACACAAGTCGAACATCCTACTCTCCTCGACTACTTTATTCTAGTTTATCTCTTTATTGGTGGTTGGTGGCGAGAAGACTTCCCGTGGTGGCGAGTACGTTGGTGGCGAGATCGTTCCTTGGTGGCGAGTTCGCTGGTGGCGAGTCTCCCTGGTGGCGAGGTAACCGGTAACCATTTAAACACATGCCTAATCGCTTGGTTCATCTGCTAGAAACTTCTGGCATCAGATGAGGGGAAGGAAAAACTACAGCCTATCACGATCTTTTTTCACTTCTAACCTCTAGAAGTCATATAATCTGTCAGGTGCTCTAAAAGAAAGTGGTCTTTAAAAAAGGAGGAAACCAAACGAAAGCAAACAAACACAGAATGTGAACTTTTTCTTCAGAAAACAATTTAGAGGAATTTAAGTAACCACTGAGGGAAAACGTAAGAAATCTAGTGCATCGTTACATTTATGAGGTATAAAACTTTATTCAAATTTGTCATTAGATGATTCATTTAAAGACTCAAACGTAATAAGTTACAGTTAGCCAAACAAGGTAACACCCTTTAGGATGTTACAGCGGAATTAATTTTTCTCGGATAGAACATACTCTACTTCGCTGGGTCCTGAATTACGGACCTTGCTGCGCTGCGCTAAGCTCTTTCCGTCCGGGTAACCTCCACTCGATCAATAAGTACATATTATTTTTCCTTGTAGGACACTGGGGGCGGCTTGGTTAATTCAGTATAGCCAGGGAAAGTCTTCACCCTTGAATAAACGCCAGTCAGAAGATCCTCGCCTTGTAAACGATAAAACAAATCCACCTTCCTCAAACGTCAACGTGACTGATTATTGCAGCGAAAGAAAGGAAAAGTTATACGAAGAAAACTTACATGGGGACGATGAATGTTATGTGGTCTGCATTGACGAACACCTCTTGCTTCCACTGATTACAGCTTATACCCCTTCTAAAATCTTCTACGGAGTCAGCAAAGGAATCGGTGACGCCCAAAACGAGGTTAATGTCGAAACTTCATTCATTAGTCAGCTTGATTGTAAGCGGAAGTCACGTAAACAAAGAACTGGTTTGCACGACGGTGAGGCTCGCAGCCTCTCTGTAATTAGAAGCTCGAGAAAACGCCTTAGTGAAGGTTTGGCGGATAGCACGTCACCAATTGATTTCACTCTAACAATCAACAGCAAGGACGACTACCTGGATCGAGACTGGGGAAGAGGCCCGGGTGAGGGTTTGGCGACGAGTACGTCATTAACTAATCTCACCTTAACAATTAACAGCAAAGACGAATACCTGGATCGAGACTGGGGAAGATACCTGGGAAGAAGTTTGGCGAAGAGTAGTTCATTAACTGTTTTCAACCTAACAATCAACAGTAAACACAGATACTTGGGTGGAGACTGGGGAAACGGCCTGGGTGAGGGTTTGGCGAAGAGCACGTCATTAACTGCTTTTACCCTAACAATCAACAGCGAACATGGATGCTTGGACAGAGACTGGGGAAAAGGCCTGGGTGAGGGTTTGGCGAAGAGTACGTCATTAACTGCTTTCAGCCTAACAATCAATAGCGAACATGGATTTTTTAATGGAGACTGGGGGAAAGACCTCCATGAAGCTTTGGCGAGGAGTACGTTGTTAACTGCTTTCACCCTAACAATCAACAGTGAACGCGTAGACTTGAACGGAGACTGGGGAAAAGACCTAGGTGAAGGTGTTGCGAAGAGTACGTCATTAACTGCATTTACCCTAACAATCAACAGCCGTCGGTTATTTCTGATTAGAAAATGGGGAAAAGGCCTTGGTAAGGGTTTGGCGAGGAGTACGTCATTAACTGCTTTCACCTTAACAATCAACGGCGTTCTCAGATATCAGCGTGGAAACTTGAGATATGACCTGAGTAAGGCTTTGGCGAAGAGTATGTCATTAACTGCTTTCACCCTAACAATCAACGGCGAACACAGAATTCGGAATGTACACTGGGGAAAAGGCCTGGGTAAAGGTTTGGCGAAGAGGAATGAGAGAAAGCGAAAAGAGTTCACTATTCCGTTCCCTTCATTCGATCTTGATATGGGTGTCCTCTGTCTGTCCGTAAGCCCTCTGTCTTATCAATTCATCAATCATGGAGAGAAAAAATTAGGCTCTGGATCTCCAAATTTTCCAAAGTGTTCAACCAAATCAACGGAGCGGGAAATCAAGAGGGGTATCTTTGCGCCGTTCCCTGACACGAGGAATGATAGAATGCGAAAAGAATACACGATGCTGTTTGGAAATTTGAGGATAGCTGACAGCGGGGCTCTGGATGGATTTTTCCCTTCATTTAATCATGATAGAGGTGTCTGTGTAAGCCCACGGTCTTTTAAACGGAATCGAACCATCAATCATGGAGAGAAAACTTTAGACTCTGGATCTCCAAATTTTTCAAAGTATTCAACCAAATTAACGGAACGGAAAATCAAGAGGTGTATCGTTCCGCCGTGCCCTGACACGAGGAATGAGAGAATGCAAAAAAATGCACGAAAAAATGCGGTGACGAGATCTTTGTTGGAAAAGACGAAAACATACCTGAAGTCTTGTTATAGACCCATTCTAAATCTTAAGTTACTAGGGAGAGAAAATCTTAATAATTTAGCAACATAACAAATAGAAATGACAGGGCGAAGTTTGTTGAAAGTCGGAAATTGACATGAGTTTCAATGTATTCGATGGTGACTTACAATAACTTAAACGCCAATGGAAAAATCAATGGTGAAACAAACAGTGATCCAAGCAAAGCAAAATGATTTAAAAAATCTTGTAGGATATAGATTACGCAAGGTAAAAAAGGGCGAAACAATTTCTCTGCGAAAAAAAAATTTAAAAAGGGCTACTCCCCATTTGTCTTTATTTGCCTGATTTAGTCGGATGAAACACCAAAAAAAAAAAAAAACTAGTATTGAGATCCTAGAAAAACACATTCTAACAAACTGTAACGAATACTTCATCCGATCGCGAAAAAGTCTTGCTCTTAATATATGATTTATTAACCAAGATAACAAAAGCTACGAATACGCGATAACTAAGCTAAGCAAAAAGTTTGGAAGCCACGAGCAAAGACAGTTACATAATAAGTTGCTCGCAATTAGTTATAATTGTGTTCGTTTTTTAGGGCGCTATACTTAGAATTTTCAACATGATTCTTTATTCAATGTTACCTGCCCGCGCAGCATTTTGCTGAATTTCATTATGTTTGTTTTTCAAAGAGTTCAATTATTTTTTTTCGCAGACTTATATTAATTTTGACGTGAATTGATATGCTTCGCCATGAGTTAATTCTGTTTTGCCGTGAGGTTAGCTTGTATGTTAAGTTTAGTGACACATTTAGAGAGGAACACAGTGAGGATTATCGCCGATGAATTCTTCAATAGGAAATTTATATTTAAAAACAACAAAAAAATTTCTACAACTAAAATGGAAAACTAGTGGAGTTTTTAAACCAAGTTTTTAAATTAATTTGAAAATCAGCGTTGATAATTGACCAACCACCTTCCATGATCTACTTGGAATCTCGAGCTCACCTTCTGATTAAGAATAAATGACATTTTGGTTTTTGTATCATTCTGAGTGCCATAATAAATTGATTGAAAAAGGTACGAAACCTTAACAAATAGTTTTATACGGTAGACACATGTAAACACCAGAGAGATAAGCAAAAATCTAAACGAGGGAATTGAAGGCTAGATTTTTCAAGAATCCTCAAAACCATGAATTATACCCTATATCCTCATACTTCATCGGAAAAATCCGATATCATATCCAATGAAGGATTAGAGTTTTGACGACATAAATTCGCACACTCTTCCTCAGCATCGAAGAAATCTTCTGATGCTGTCATTTTTCGCTATTCGTAATTTGAGGCTCGTTCTGTGGCCCATTCTGTACACATTCTTGTCCACGAACAACTCGTGGTTTTCCTATAGATACGCTGTTCTGCTCAATATTCTGGAGACCTGCGTGAATTCTCAAATGAAAAAGACTTTGTAAAAGGTGATCACGATGTTTCCTATCATGTTTAAACAAATTAAAAAATAATGGTGGAAGATAGACCGTAACACCTGGATGACCAGTTACATTACAGCTCGAATCACCCCCCACTTTATGAGGAAGTTTTTAAATTAATTCTTCGTGAACTATTATGCGACCGCTGCCAGGCACATGGGCAAACATTAAACAAGAGGAAAGGGCGGGAAAACATACAACGACCACAAAGCGGGGAGTGGATGCAACCGGCACAAACCGATAGGAATGGTAAAAAGCGCGGGAAAACGTGAAGTTAAAGCAAAGTCCGATCTACTTACACGAGTCTTTCACTACTTTTCAGTTACATGAAAGATGATGTAAAGAGGCAAATTGCATCTATAATTGAATACCTTGCCCGCTCCAAATATTCCTTAGCTCGCCTAAAGTCCACTTCGTCCAAATACAGAAATCCAATCTCTGCACATGCGTAAGGAGCAAGGTAAAAATCCCGCTTCAAATCTTTTCATCTGTAAATAAGAAACACAACCGTCCCTCACACATGTTCATATTGCAGTTATTTACTGCACGACACGACCGAGTCACTGGTTGTCATACAAATTCTATTCACAAAATCCACCTTTCTCTTCACTCGATCTAGAAAAACAACGGTAAAAGGCAATGGAGCAGCCGTCTTGGATCAATTGGCGAGAGAGATCTGGAGACAGTACAAGGCTAATTTGAGTATGGGAGAGGGATTGGAACGAGATAGTAAAGGTGTTGAAATTTGAGCCAAGTGTCTCATCTGGTAAAACCCGTCCCAGTTTTTAAAAATAAAATTAGCATGAACCGGGGAGAGTATTCTAATATTTCCTGGATGGGAAGCTAATCCATGGCAACATTTCGTCAGAACTTCCAAAGAGTTCGCTATCAGCTCTTTATACTCTGGGTTGGAGAGAGGCACTACAAGGTGCTTTGCCAAAGATCACAAAGAGCTTGAAAAAAAAAAAAAAAAAAAGGGGGAAGGGGGAGGGAAAGAGAAAAGAAAGAGAACTTTTATGCTTGGCAATGTTAGCATGAATTCCCATCATTTACCTGTCAAAAGAATTTCTTAAACATTCCATTGCTTCTTTCCTGTAACACAAGCAACGATGACACATTCCCTGCAGGGGTTTACCGAAACACAAGTCGTCTACGTAATTTTCATTCTCCTCTAGAAGAAAAAAAATGTACGTGATGAATATCAACCCTTATAATTGTGGGGATAAAGTTTTTAAATTTTCCTTGAGAATTCTCGAATTGGAAAGAAAACAGGCTCACACCGGATTAGCTTTATTACAAATCATACAACTGCATAACTTGCCTTTTGTTTGCTTCTGTTTATTTAAAGAACTCTCCATTAGTTTCATTAGAGGCGGAACTAAGTCAGGTCTGTGAGCAAGGACTTTGGAGCCATTCCATGTAAATAGAAGCTCCTGGTGATAAATGGAGAAAATAATATTTTCCGTAATTGTAAGGGAAACGGAAATGGCATTCTCGTGTAATGTTCTTTTTCATTTTAATTTATTACCAAAATCTTAAGGCTAAGTCTTGGGTCTTAATATCACACTGTAAACGGACAAACAAGCGAGTTTGAAATGTGAACACGACAGAATTAAGTGAAAATCCACAGTCCAAGATCCATTTTAGGTTCGGGGATCGCAATGCGTTTTTATTGCCTCTATCATTACCATCCGTGGTAGTTTGCCTCTTTCGTGTTTTTCCTATCTAACAGAGGTAATAAACAATTCTTCACTGCAGTGAAGGTGGCTAATAGTGGATATTTCCCTAACAGCGAAGCGTTGAGGTAAATATCCACTACTAGCCACCTCCACTTCGGTGAACAGTTGTTTTAGTATGACTAAAACAGTGCGATAATATAACACAAAAGGTTCAACTCATGTAATCCTGCAACGATTATAATATTTTCGAGCGCAAATCCTGCGCGCGTTGCCCGGAGTTGAATAGCAAAGTATATTCGGAATTTGTGTAGTCAATCAGCGCTTGCCTTTAAGCGCGATCTGATATTTTAGTATATATTTTTTATCACATGACCCTAATGGTCCCACGAGCGAAAGGGATGGCGGAAGAAGGGCTGGAAAAAGATGCAAGACCTTGCGAGAGGCAAAATGAAAAAAAGTGTGGAAGAGAGGAAGAAACGGAAAACAAATGAGGAAATACGTATTGAATCAGTTGTAGATAACGCTTTAACCTTTTAACCCCTAAGAGTGACCAGCGTTTAATTTCTCCTGACAATATCACACCTAAATCAAACATTAGGGTCACGAGACAAAAGGAAATGATCATTAACTAAATAAGCTCTTGAATGTTACACAAATTCTCCTTGTCAGCATTCTAAGAAATACATAGAGAACAGTGTGGAGAATATGTATACTGGTGTTACGGAGTAAAGGGTTAAAAGTACAACATACACGATTGGACCTACCACTCCAGCCAGAAAAAGACGGTCATTTTGTTCGAAATACTTGTTCGCCTTGTGGATGGCAAAGTCTTCAAATGGAAGAGACTGACCTACGATACTCTGCTTAAAGTCCAGAAGACGCCTTGAAAAGAAAAAAAAAATTAGAATTAGGAAATTAGAATCAGACGAAAACAAGGTTAATTGACAGATTAATTGTGGAAAAATGGGAGCTAAAATGCTACTGGGGTGGGGTGAAATATAAGTAATGAAGAAAAAAACAGTAATCAACAACTTGAAGAGAATTGTAAAGGCTAACATTTTTTCCTTAACCTACAATCGGGCGATCTAAGACAGGTGGTTTTCCGCTCTTTTGTAGTGTTTTCAAGTTAAGACTATTTTCTTTTGTTTTGAGGCGCCATTGATTGTCTTTCTATATTCTGGAACAATACATTCTATGAGAGTACACACAAAAAATACGCTTTGTACGTGATTTTCTACCTTGCGTAAACTTTCCTTCAGTTTGCTCGTTTTCTGTACCTGGCCAACATAATTTTTTTTTCGCGAGAATCCTGCGTAAAAAATCAGTGATATTTTCATTAGTTACCACAAACGGATCTTTCAAGGTGACTATTTACCTTTCTCTCGAGGCTATCGTGTGGCCCACGAAAAGGTAGAACGGATCCACCAAAGACGCACAAAAGTGATCACCACATTATTTTTGTCTTGATTGTTACACAGTGAGCAAAGTGACAAATCTTAGAAGATAATAAATTTATAAAACCCTTACCTTCCAAGCGTTTAACGGCGTATAAATCGAGGAAACTACAGTGCACGAGTTTTACATGTCTTAGCCTCAGGGAACGAACGAATGTTTGATTCAGTTGTGATGATATACAGATAAATTAGATGTTGATCACTCTTGGGGGTTTAAGTGTTAACCCTTTACGGCATAACATCAGTATCCATATTCTCCATACTCTTCTTTATACATTTCTTTTAGTACTGACGAGGAGAATTAGTTTAGCAATCAAAGCTTCTTTGGTTGGCGATCATTTCCTTTATTCTCATGATCTTAATGAATGATTTAGCAGTATTACTGTAAGGAGAAATTAGATGCTGGTCATTCTCAGGATTGAAAAGGTTAAAGTACTTAAATGCTGGATTCTTGTTTACAGAATATTTT